CATGGAAGGTCCATTCAGGTATTGTGGCTAACAGCTTCTGATGGGCTCTTTTCTAGGGTTGCCAGCCTCCAGATGGGGGATTGCAGTTCTCCTGGAATCACAATTGATCTCCAGACGACAGCAACCAGTTCTCGCAGGGAAAAAATGACAGGTTGGGAGGGTAGACTCTATGACATCACATCCTTGCAGTGCTCCCTCCCCTCCTCACCCTTCTCAGGCTCCACCCACGAATCTCCAACACTTTGCCAAGCTGGAGTTGGCAACCCTACAAGAATTTGCCCAATTCTCCTTTTAAAGCCAACTAAATTCCTGCTGGGAGCTGCGGTGGCTCAAGTGGTTAAGACGCTGAACTGCAGGCTGTGGAAGGTCGGTAGTTCAGCAGTTCGAGACCCGAGTTCGAAAGCAAGGAAGTGCAAGTAGATAAATAGGTACCACTTCGGTGGGAAGGTAACAGCGTTCCGTGCGCCTTGGTGTTTAGTCATGCCGGCCACATGACCACGGAAAGGTCTTCGGACAGCGCTGGCTCTTCGGCTTTGAAACGGAGATGAGCACCGCAACCCTAGAGTCGGACTCGACTGGCTTTCGAGCAAGGGGACCTTTACCTTTTTAATTTCCTGCTGATCTCTGCATTCCAATGATCACTGCAGTGAATTACACAAGTTTAGTACTGTCAGAGTGACGATGTAATTGCTTTTCTCTTTCCTGAATCTGTTGTTATTGTTGTTAGCCATTCAGACATGTCCAGAATCTACTGCCCATCAACTAGACAGGAGAAACAGCTTTTTTCCTGCTCTCTCTCCCCACCCTGTGCATAATGTTATAATCATGTGTGTGTCCCCCCCCCTTAATATTCATTTTGCTACATTAAAGAGGCTCAAACGTCTTAGCCTTTGCCCTGACCTGGATAGCCCCGGCAAGCCTGATTTCATCAGATCTCAGAAGCTACTTGGATGGGAGATCTCCAAGGAATACCAGTGCCGGGATGCAGAGGGAGGCTATGGCAAGCCACCTCTCTGAAATGCCCAAGTCCCACTAGGGGTTGCCAGAAGTCAACCATGACTTCCAGGCACATGCACATATGCGCGCACACATAAAAACACCAAAAAACCCACAACCTCTTAGGCAGGGCTCTTTTTGTAGAAAAAGCCCAGCAGGAACTTATTAGCATAATAGGCCACATCCAACAGCAGGAACTCATTAGCGTATTGGGCCACACCCCTGACAGCACAGCTCATTATATTTATATTTATTTATTTATAGTTTCGATTTATTATACCGCCCTAACCCCCGTGGGGGTCTCTGGGCGGTTTACAGTAAGTGTGCTAGTCACTTTTTTTTTTTTTGTACTACCCTAACTAAGGCCACATTTCATTGGGGGGGATGGGACTACTTACCGACACCCAGTGGTATTTTTGCTGTTCTCTTCTGCTTGGCTCAGCTCTTCCCGGCGAGATTAGCACATTAGGACGCACCCACATGTTACCAGAAGTGTGCTCATCCAGCCACACCCACCTTTTGCTTGTTATTCTGTTTACCTTGTTTGTTGTCAAAACCCAGGGCTTTTTTGTAGCAGGAACTCCTTTGCATGTTAGGCCACACACCCCTAATGTAGCCAATCCTAATGAGTTTCTGCTGTTGGGTGTGGCCTATTATGCTAATGAGTTCCTGCTGGGCGTGGCCAACCTCCTGCTGAGCGTGGCCAACTTGGGAGCCAGCCGGAACTTCGTTCCTGTGCATTCTTGCCCAAAAATAGCCCTGCTCTTAGGCTTCCATTGTAGGGAAGGTGTTCCAGCTCCTTGATCATTATGGTTGCTCCCTTACAGCACTTCAACATCCTTTTGAGGAAAAAACCAGAACTGTACGTTCCATTTCCAATACAGATTTATACAAGGATATTACAATACTGGTCATTCTGTTTTTAGTCCTTTCCCTGATGATCCCTAACATAGATTTGACCTATTTCACAGGAGCGACACAGAGTCAACATTTTCACTGAGCTATCCACCACAACCCTAAGATCTCTTTCCCAGTCACTCAGTGGCAGTTCAGACCTCATAGCATTAGGATTTTTCACCCCAATGTGCATCGATTTACATTTATACAAATACAAAGTTTGGTGCAGTATTTATACAAATATACAAGGTTTGGTGTAGTGGTTTAAGTGTGCGGACTCTAATCCGGGAGAACCGGGTTTGATTCCCCGCTCCTCCACTTGCACCTGGCTGGATGACCTTGGGCAAGCCGTAGTTCTAATAAGAGCTGTTCTTAAAAAAAAGAGCAGTTTCTGTCAAGAGCTCTCTCAGCCCCGCCTACCTCACAGGGTGTCTATTGTGGGGAGGGGAAGGGAAAGGAGTTTGTAAGCCGCTTCTTCTTCTTCTATAATTTGCTTCATTGTGATCCACTCATCCAGTTCAGAGAGATTCTTTTGGACATTTTTGCAATCTGCTTTGGTTGGGTAATATCATGTTATTTGCCAGTCTGATTGCATCACTATTCATGTCCAATTCCAGATCATTTATGAACAACTTAAACTGCACAGATCCCAATATGGATTCCCATGGAGCCCTACAGCTAACTTCTCTGTCTTGTGAGGACTGCTCATTTACTCCTCTGCTTCCTCTTGCTTCCCTTGTTTCTAATCCACAACCCATCCTACCACTGCTAAACTTACTCTGAAGCCTTTGATCAGGGCTCACAGCATCGGCATACCCTGAGGTAGGACAGCTCCCAGGGTTTCTGGTGGGGCCCACTGCCATCGAACCCCATCTACACACCTTACCTACTGCTTACCCTTTCCCCTCCTGCTCACAAGTGCTCCAGTACCTGTGCTTCTAGCTAAACATGCAGCCCAGCATTGTTAGGAAAGACTGTGCAGGTGGTCCATGTAGCACTGACAACTCTGGGTTGGGAAATTCCTGGAGATTTGAGGGGGGTGGAGCCTGGGGTGGGCAGGGTTTGGGAAGAGGAGAGACCACAGCAGCAGGGCATAATGACATAAAGTCTACCCTTCAAAGTAGCCCTTTTATCCAAGGGAAAGGATCTCTGTAGAGATCAACTGTAATCCCGGGAGATCTCCAGGCCCCACCTGGAAGTTGGCAATCCTAGGTGAGTGGCTCGTGGCAGCACCTCCAACTACATACACTGCCTTGTGCTATTAGGCAGAGGGCATATGCAGGCCATGAGTGCAGGTGGTGGGAAGTCTCTCAAGCACGGGAAGGACACAGAGACAGGAGGGGGGGTGCGTGGGGGGTGGGGGTAGAAAGGGGGATATGACTGGTAGGGCCTAGTGGTAGGCAAAGTAGGGGGCCATGGGAAGTCTCTGCCCAGGGGTCTCCAAAACGTGGATCTACCACTGCCTTTATAAGGGACTGTGTCAAAAGTTATTAGGCTGCCCAAAGCACATTGTGTCTACTGAATGACCCTTGTTTGTTCAACCTCTCAAAGAATTCCAAAAGATTAGTGAGACAGGGCTTTCCTCTACAGAAGCTATGCTGCAGCTTCCTCAGCAGGGTTTGTTCCTCTATGTGCTTAGTCACTCTATCTTCAATAACTGTTTTCATCATTTTCCCCTGAACAGATATTAGACTAACTAGCCTGTAATGTCTGGCATCTTTTCCTGATCCAGTTTTCAAAATCAGGATTATATTGGCTCCTTTTCCAACCCTATGGTAGGCAGGCTGGTTTTAATGACAATTGCCTGTATTTGTTAGGAGATCAAGAATTTCACACTGTTTAGGAGCTCTTGAGGCTACGCCATCTGGACCCAGAGACTTCTTAATTTGTCCATAAACCCTTGGATTTCAATTACCCAGTTCTATTTAACTTCCGATGCCTTTCCCAAAAACAAAACCTGTGAGATGAGTGACTGCCCTACATTTTCTCAAGGAAAACCAGCACAAGGAATTCATTCCATTTCTGTGCAATTTCCCTCTCTTCCTTGACCAGTCCTTATGCCCCATTCTCTCTCTCTCTCTCTCTCTCTCTCTCTCTCTCTCTCTCTCTCCCTCCCTCCCTCTGGCTGCTTATCATATATGTCAATAAATTCTTATTATCTTTAACATCTTTAGTAATCTTCTTCTTACATTCTCAGTTCATCTCCTTTATTGTTAACTTACATTTGTTTTACCAGGCCCTGTGCTCCTTCTCATTCACCTTGCTTGGTCAAGTCTTCCACTTTTTAAATGAAACGTTCTTGACTATTTTGGCTTCCTTGACTTTGTTAGTTAACCGCGCTGGCATCCTCTTAGATCGGGTGGCACCAATGCTCCCTCTAAGCTGTGGAGTCTTGTGAGCAAAAATTCTACTTTGTGAGCTACTGGCATTAAAGTTGTGAGCGAGGACTTTGGCTGCTGCACGAATCAGTTTGCCCTGGAGCCATCCTTCCTGAGCTAAGATAAAAATGTGTGAGCCAGAAGCTAAAAAACTGTGAGCTAGCTGACACTCACTCAGCTTAGAGGGAACACTGGATGGCACCTTTCCTAATGAGTGGTATACAATCTCTCGGAAACTGCATCCACAGATTATCGGACACTGTGCTATTGTTGCACTATAGCAAACATTTGCCATTAGATTTTCCTGTACGGACAGGCGAATCCAGATTCTAATGAGTGCTGCAATGCAACAATATACAATATACAATGACGTATGGATGCAATTGGGAATAAACCCCAGAGGGAGCTTTGTGACATTTGTGACATTTGCAGTGGGCTTGTGGAATGGCTGATCACTTGATTTGACTCACAGCTCTGGATCCCTGACCATGAAAACCCCATTTCAACTGATGCGTTTCTTCCAAACGATAGGCAGGAAGAAAGGTCTGACTTAAAACCCAACACGACTGCTATTTTCCTAAGGCCTGTCCCATAAAGGAAAAGAAGCATTCCTGCCCATGGGGCAGGTTCCAGTCAAAACAAAAGAGTCCAGAAGGCAGAGTGGAGGGTCACGACACGGCCATCTGATGAAGACTGGGTGAAGCCTCACTTCTTCTCCCATAGCTTTAGCTATGAGGAAATTAAAGAAGATGATCTGATATTGAGTGGAAATCTGTTTTCTGGTAGGGTTGGTGGCAGCAGAGGGGAGGGGAGTGGGAGGCAGTGTGTAAACTTGCGCACCATCCTCCACAAGTCAGTCCGGAAGCGCTTGATGGAGAAGCAATAGATAAGTGGGTCGATGCAGCTGTTGAGGCTCAGCAGAGCTACACTGAGCATATGTAGGTTATCCAGAAATGACGGAGGCCTGCAGAAGGAAACAGACTTCCAGGCAGCTACCCAAGGAACCAGGGAGAGGTGATAAGGGGCCACACAGACCACAAACACCAAGAGCATGCCCAAGACCATGGCACAAGCCCGCCGCCGGTGTCCTCCTTGGCAGGTGCTGGCTGCAGCCGAGAGGGATCTCATGATGGACATGTAGGCCCCTAACACCACCAGGAAGGAGGCCACAAAGAGCGCCACCATGGCGTAGGCATAACTCCTCCGGCCTGAGTGCTGCTCAAAGCATTTTGTGCTTTCAGGTCCTTCCTGGTGGGTCTGCTGGGTGGTCAAGGAGGGGACGGCACAAGCAGAGCACAACAGCCAGGCCACAGCGCATCCCATGAGCGCCCCCGGAGGCTTGTTCAATGCCAGCTGCAGCTTAGCAACCGTACAGTAGCGGTTCAAACTGATGAGGGTCATGAAGGCCATGGCGCTATAAGTGGCCAAGTAGTAGGTAGCACCAGCCAAGCGGCAAACCACCTCTGGAAGTTCCCAGTTGCCACCTGCCAGGTAGTAGGGGATCCAGAAGGGCAAGGTGAGGTTGAAGAAGATGTCAGCCAGAGTGAGGTTGATGAGGTAGATGCGGATGGCCTTCCTCACCCGTCCGCTCTGCAGAAAGACAAGCAAGGCTGCCAGATTGCCTGGCAACCCCACACACAACACCAAGCAATAGATGGCTGGCACCAGGATGAACTGCATGGGGTCACTGGGCTGGCACTGCCCAGCTACTAGCCATGAAGCCGTGGAGTTGTCCATCCCAATGAAGCTGCAAGACAGTGAAAATAGTGTCAGCCAAAATAAAGGAAGATGCAGGGAGAAATGAGGGAGACGGCCAGAGAAGATGACTCACCTGTTTCTAGGAGCTGATTAATGGGTGGACAAAATTTTGGGTGGATGGGTGGACAGATGGATGGGCAAAAGACAATCTGTATGGATGATGACTAGAAGTGTGCATTTGGATATTTTGGAACTAAAATGGTCTCTGAAATTCCCTTTATAGTTTTGGACCAGAACTACCCAATCTGAAAATAACAGGGCAATTCAGGCACTGTTTCAGTTTCTAAATATCTGAATGCACACTCCTAGGACAGAAGATGGAATGGAGAAGGGGATGGAAAGACAGAACACTTCCTATCTACATAATGTTTACCCCACTCCTCCTCTAAGGAGCACACGACAGCGTACATCTACATTACCCTCACAACATACCTGGGAGGTAGGTTAGGCTGAGAGATGGAGCAACTGGCTCAGAATCAGCCATTGGGTGGCACGGTTGAGTGGGGGATTTTTACTCAGAGCTCTCTCATGCTAGTCCAAGACCACTGCACCACATTTTGTCAATAGATGGTATATGGATTTTTTAAAAAAGCAAGACACCATGAATGGATGGATAGACTGATGGACCTTTATGGATGGGCCCTTGGTAGATGATTGAATGGATCAATGGACCTTTATTATGAATTGATGGGTAGACTGGATGGATACACGGACACATGGAGAGACTGATGGACCTTTGTCAATGGGCCTTTATGAATGGATGGGAGAGATGAACTAACCTTTGTGAATGGATGGATGGAGGGACCTTTGTGAATGGACGGGAGCATCCATCTACAGAGGCAACAAATCTCTGCATACCAGTGCTGGAAGGCAGTAGCAAGGGAAGGCCTCAGCCTCTATGCCCTGTTTGGCCCTCCAGGACAAGTGGTTGGCTGCTGTGTGAGACAGGATGCTGGACTAAATGGACCATTGGTCTGATCCAGGCAGGCTCTTCTTGTGTTCTTACCTTCTGTCTAAATGGATAGATGAGCCTTTATGAATAGACAGATGGATGGACCTTTGTGAATAAATATCATAGAGAGGGAATTGATGGATGGAGAAACAGAAGGTAATTTGAATAGCCGTAAAGACACTTTGGGGATAGATGAACAATATGGTACAAAGATGAATGAATTCACAGACACTGATAGACAGGAAAGGCAAGATAATAGGAGGGCATGGGTGGATGGACACACACAGGCAAAAGAGGGGATGTGTTGAGAGAAAGGCAGGCAGGCAGAAGCGATTGCAGCAGGTGTAGCTGCCTGAACCTTCCCCACCCCCAGTAATCTCCAGCTGGGGCAAGGACAATTTAAGCCAAGAAAATCTCCACTCGCATTCCAGGAAGCCGGAGTCTCTCCTCCCGGCCCCGCTCTCTGTATTCTGCTCTGAGGTTTGGAGACGGGTTATTCAGGGATGTACAGAACCACACAGCTGCAAAGAGATGCATCCAAGGGCTGCCGCCCACTGCTGGAGACACGACTCCTGGCTCCAGCCCACAGCTGCTGGGGCTTAACACCAGCAAGGCCCCTGTGCCAGAATGTCTCCCTGGCTCCAGCCACAGATCACCTGTTGTAATCCCAGGATCCCTGCCAAACCAGAAGCACAGCTGAGGCCAGGGAGAGCAGACGTTTCTCATTTGATAAGCCTGCCCCACTCTGTCCCCTTCATCTGCTTCCTGTCTTCTCTCAGATTTAAAAAAAGAAAAAAGAAACCTAATCCAAAATATTTATCCAACCTGAAATTTAGTGTGAGTGATTTTTTTTCCCCCCACATGGAAAAATTAGAGGTTGTTGGGACAGAGAATTTGACTTCTCGGTAGACAAATTCAAGCCAGGCAGGCTTTCTACTCAATAATATGTGTATTATTTATAGTACAGAGCATGATGCGGCCAAAAATTATGCCTTTAACTTCCAATTGATTTCAAAGGGAAAGCTGCTTTAATTCATTGATATAATCAGGGCTTCTTTTGTAGAAAAAGCCCAGCAGGAACTCATTAGCATAATAGGCCACACCCAGCACCAGAAACTCATTAGCATTTTAGGCCACACCCCTAACAGCACAGCTCATTAGCTTATTAGGCCACACCCCCATGCATTCCCTTGGCTGCGGGGAGCCCGGGCAAGCCGGCCCTTAGAGGGTAGGGGAGGCAGTTTAAACTCCCTTCCCTTGGCTTGCCCTTGGACAGGCTGGGGAAGGCACGGGGAGGCATTTAAATGTCTCCCCGATCCTTCCAGGGGGCCCCCTGGCCCGCCCGCCTCAGAGTCGCTGGGGGGTCACTCTCCAGGCCTTCCCTCTGTAGCCACGCACTCAGAGGTTTTGGCTGTAGTGGGCGTGGCCAACTCTGAAGCCAGCCGGAACTCCGTTCCTGTGCGTTCCTGCCCCAAAATAGCCCTGGATATAATGATACTACCCCCTTTTTTTTAAATGTCAGAGAAGTTTCAAACCGTTCCAAACTGTATCAACAACCGTAGGATGGGAGACAGCATGGGTAAGGTGCCACTGACATCTGACTTGGCTTCAACTGTGCAGACTGGTTTTTCAGGAGTGGCCTGTTCTAAACAAACTGAAGGAGATCATTTCAAAAAGAGCCCTGCGGCTCTCCAAAAGTTATAGCCGGGGTTGCCAGGCAAAGCAACTGATGGGAGTCCAGGAGAGCAGGGACATGGGCAACATCAGCAACAGCTTGATGTCACTTCCAGGGAAAAATCAGGAAATGACATCACGCCCCCTACAAATGGCCAGAAACTCTTTGGTTTCACCACAGGATTTCCAACCATTCCTGTCACTTCCAGGTTTCCCCCAGAAATTATGTCACACTGTCTTTTGCTGTTGGGAGACCTGCAATCCTGTTTATATCTGCATGCCCATATATACACTATCCATCAGAAACCCAAGTTCAGTGCTTACACTGTCTGCTTCTATGTCATTTAAACACATTCCCTTATACAATCCATTACATTCTCAGGGCTTGGGTGTTCTGTACATTTTTAAAAAAATTAAAATCAAAATAAACCATATTCTGAATCTGTATAGATCTTAAGAGTTGCCAGCTTTTTTTTTCTTGGCCCTGTTCTTGTGCCTTTAACACCAGCCTGGCATGCAGCAGTTAAACTTTTTCCTGACATCAAGTGATGGTGAATGCTCAGCTTGCCATATTTCTGCCTCTCAGGCTAGTGGTAAAGGCACAGGAGCAGAGTTATTCAAGAACACAGGAAACTCTGAGGGATCTATTAACTCAGAAAACTGGTTCTAAGGACAAATAAACATTCAATGTCAATAGACTTTAAGCAAAACTGTGCGGCACTAGAATCTAAAGAATGAGAGTTTCTTTTTATAAGAGTAAAACCAGGGGTTTGCTCCAAATTCTACTGCCCTCACAAACCCATCTTCTCTGCCCATCCAACACTTCCCTGAGATGGGAGGTGGATTTTCTTTATATATTTTCAAAAAGAAAAAAAAGTTGTTCATCTTACATGAACAAAGGTGTACAAATTTTAAAATCACTTAACAATTCTTCATCTTATAGGTTCCTAATGGTAAAAAGTCCTAGGCACCAAAACATACACCAAACCTACCTCACAGGATTGTTGTGAGGATAAAATAGCAGAGAACTGTGTAAGCTGCTCTGGGTCCCCCGTTGGGGAGAAAGGTGGGATATAAATAAAGTAAATAAACAAATAAATAAACTTTGAGTTTCACTATAGGGTTCTAGAAGTTTCTATAGATAAAGAAGGAAATAAAAGATTTTACCCTTTGTTCCCTGGAAATCTCTCCTGGAAAGAGAGCAGCCCCACCTAGGATGGAGAGCCTGGAGACAGTTTCATTTCAATCACTTACCTAGCCGATACAGCCTGAATCCCTCAGGGGGTGCCTGGATATGAATCCGTCTGTCCGCTCCGCAGTGTTCAGCAATTGTGCTTCCAGAAAGCAGAACAGCTCTCTCGACAGGCCAGCAAACAAACTCTGGTCATTTATGGGGTTATTTATCACAACTGAGTCATTTTCTGCACCAGCTGGGGAATATGCTACAGGGATAAAACAGGCCAGCAAGAAACAGTTGTCCTATTATTCACAAAAGAAGCAAAGCCCAACTTGGGCCACAGAGGATGGCGTGGGAGAAAGGGGCTTCTTTTGGCTCAGAGTGTGTGTGTGTGTGTGTGCAAGTGAGGGGGGATAGGGCCATGGAAGCTACTACTTCAAAGTTAAAAGTGTGGGTCATGTGAGGATTGTCCTTATAAAGCATTAATTGATGAAGTTCCCCAAGGCTATTTATTCTCTGGGAGGAGGGGGGGGGTATAGCTTGCACCTGTCCACAAACTGCAGAGAAAAAGCCACAGGCGCTTTGTGAGGTCCCCTTATAAAGGTGAACCCTAGCCAAATGGAATGCCATCTTGGCCACTCAGATTTGGCATGAGACATTACCAAAGACATGTATACAACACGTAAGAAGCAAGATGATTTTGCTTAATTTGACACACTTGAAGGAGTCCATGTGGGGGCCTCAGGTATGGCTAGGGAAATGATGGAAGGAGCAGGGGCGGACCGTCTCTTTCACTTACTGGGTCCAGGGCTATCGCAACTTCCCAACCTAGCCCTAGGAAGGAAGGAAGGCGGTTAGAGTGGATTAAGTATCTTTCTGATGAAGAAGGACAAGAATTTGGGAGCATAAGGAAAAGGTTACTGAGCAAAGGAAAGTAGGAATTTTATAAACATATCAAAGGTGCTGAGACAGAATATGGCTGACAGATAACAAATAAAGAAGGTAGACACATAAAAGACCAAGATAAAAGAGAGAAGCAGCAGCTAGAAAAGGACAGGAGAAAGAAGCTCTCTCTACCCCACCAACTCAAAATTAATTTCAAGCAGGACTAATGGTTGCTACTTCCAGAGTTTGGATTCGTGTGAACTTGTCATTTGACACAGGAAAAAATAAAAA